AAATAATAATAATAATAATAATAATAATAATAATAATAATAATAATAATAATAATAATAATAATAATAATAATAATAATAATCTTAGTGATCCTCAAATCATGCTCTGATACTACTATGTCATGCCCCCCAAATTTAATTCTCATTTAGGAGGTGGGAACCTAATTCAAGATTGATAATATTTAATTCAACAAACAATCCAGGATCCAATCACACATTTGAGGTCACTAAGAAAAACATTCAAGTCATTCACCTCTACAATCCACAATTCATAAAACCTATGCAGTCTATAATCATACATCGTGTCACTAGATGATTCTTAAAATCCAAAAGCAACTTAACTAAACCATAACTATATCATAAATCCATAAGCGCGGCAATTAATGCAATCACAAAACCAACATGTACTACATGTTTATATCAGTACACAGTTTAGACTTAACATTTCCAAAATCCTAACGTAAGAGGTACTTTTCAAATATTTACAAGATACATCAATCTAGATTTGTCATTGATATTTCATTACACCCAAAAAGAACTTATACAACATCAACCTATCAAGTACAAAATATTTGCCCCAAAATCTTCTAGTCTTCCACTGCCTCAATCCAATTTACACATTTTAGTGAGCGATAAGCTATCCTGAAAAATTTATATAGCAACGGGTTGAGCATATAAAGCTCAGCAAATGACTAACATATCCATAGCAAAGAGGACATTTTTCAAAACAAATAAGGTATTAAAATACAAAGCAGAGATATAAGATTAAACAGTAGCATGTTTTGTTTGAATGTAGAATTACAATATCGTATCGTTCGAAGTACGTTTTATTCATACAATCGAGGAAAGGTAATTGGAGCATATCATTGGCATAAGGAGCATATCGATGATATATGGTAGTTTTCAAGGTATAACAAAGACTTATAACATTTCGGAAATATATCAAAGAACAAAACATGAATAGAAGCTCAAATGTCACATGACGATGCATTCATTTCATTCTTATCCAAAGCATGCATAGAAACATAGCCAAAGCTTTGGATATCATATCAAACACATAGAAGGTGAAGTGGGATCATAACATAATATGGTCCATCCATTTCTGAATGACCAACAAACATAAGTCTCCCACGTTTGGGAGCTCCATCCACCCACGTCTGAGTGAAGTCATAGGGGGCCGACAGAGTATCGCGGGCTCTAAGCATAACTCCCTTTACCATTTCTGGCAAAGGTTCACATTTATCCCACAAACACCGGAGTACAAAGGGACAATATAAATAATGAAATTAGCATATATTGGAAGCACATGCGGAACAACGAAATGTACATATACCTTTTGAGTCAATACAATACAAACATAATCTTTCACAAATGTATTCAAATTTGAAAGGAAACAAAAGCAAGAGCATACCAGGATTTCAAGAAATCATATATAGCTCAATTGAAATAAGAAAGTTAGATAAATTCAATGTCCAAAGAAATGAAACTGAAAGAGGCACATATCGAAAGCAAATGCGGAACAATGGGATGCATGTGTCGAATCATTACGATGCAAACATGATCTTTAGATGATAGCTGCAGATGTACAAATAAATAAAGGACAAAAGTATACAGGAATTTAAGGTAATAATGTAAAGCTTAACTGAAGTAAGAGTTTTTGCCGAAATCGATTTCCAAAGAGAAGAAACAAGGAAAGCTGAAATCGACCAAAGCTCGATTCTGGCAGAATTTGATAGGAACATTGTATGAACTATTTGGATAACCAATTATGCTCCAATTTATACAAAATAGGTGTCATTAGAAAGCTTTGTAAATCTATTTTTAGGCAAATCAAGTTTAACAAGAATTGGAATTTATAACAGGGAGTTACAGATAATTTCGTAGCGAAAGGTCTGAAAATATTAGCTCTGTTTTACTGAATCCATAGGGTCGATGAAAGCAGATGTTTCAATTAGCAATTGTACTCCAAAAATTTCAAATCAGGTATATACAGAAAGCATTTTGAGTCTAGCTTCGAATAAATAATACTTTGTATGAATCTGAGTTCACAGCATAAAGTTATAAGTAGTTAAGCAATAAGAGGTCAGAAATTTCGGTCCCTATTTTATAGAATCTGTAGGGTTAATTTAAACAGAAGTCTTAGTAGGCATTTAAACTCCAAATCATTTGATCTTAGTATCAAAATAAAGATTTTTTTGTCTACTTTCAAATAGAATAGGTCTTGTCTAAATTAGAGTTTATTACAAAATGTTATGACCGAAACATTGCATAGAGGTCAGATTACCGAAAAATTACAGATTCATAGCTTTATATCAAAACGAAAGAAGGTCTGGTTCTCAGTTGAAATCTTTCAAATTTTGCAGAATAAAAATGGAAATAGAGATTAAGGTTATTGTGGGATGAAGTTAGAACACTTGCCTTAAAATTATTTGAATCCCAAATGTGAGAAAATTGATGAAAAACCTCAAGCTCTTCTTCTTCTTCTTCTTTTTCTCAAACTCACGTTGGCTGCAACTCTTCAGGTTTGTTTTCTTTAACCTTTCATCTAATTATTTGGGTTTTGGCTAATGCAAAAGTTGCAAGGTGTCATGCATGCATGAAAGGGGCTAGGTGTCATCTTTAGAGCAAAGATAAGTGGCACCAACCTTAGGTTAGCTAGTGACATATGTCCACTATATATATATATTTTTAACTTAAATATGAATCTTTCATAAATTATATCAAACTTCTAATATTTACTCTTAGGTCCCTAGCCATAAATTTTTAATATAATATCATTGAATATAAAATAATTATTAAATAATCCTTATTTTTACAAACAAACCTTTTACTAAATTTTAAAAAACATGGGGGATGTTATAGTCCCACGCCCGCGTCCGCGCCTCTTGAGGTGGCCGAGCCGTCCACGTGTAGGATCCACGCTTCCTTAGACTGCTCGAGACCCACGTCATTGATCTGAGCAAGTTTCGCGACGAAGTCGGCTACGGATTGGGATTTGACGGCAGTCCTCGGTACGTAACGTATGTCGAACTCCCTGAGTTCTACCGACCACTTGAGGAGCCGACCTGCAACATCGAATTTAGATAAAACCTACCTGAGCAGTTGGTCGGTGATTACCTCAATCGGGTGGGCTTGGAAGTAGGGGCGTAGCTTCTGAGCCGCTAGCATGAGCGCCAGAGCCAGTCTCTCTATCGGCGGGTACCGCTCCTCTGGCCCGTTTAGGACATGGCTGACGTAGTAGACTGGTAGTTGCTCGCCGAAGACTTCTTTTATCAGGACAGAGCTGACCGCTTGCCGAGAGGCAGCCAGGTAGATTCTGAGTTTTTCCCCAAAAGAGACCGAGGCAAGGTGGGGGAGGTTGGCCAAGTGTCGTTTGACTTGGCCAAAAGCTTCTTCGCACTGCGCCGTCCATTGGAAGTTCTTCGGGTTCTTTAGTGCCCGGAAGAAGGGGAGGCAACGATCGCTAGATCGAGATAGGAACCGGGATAAGGCAACGAGCCTTCCGTTCAATCGCTGCAAGTCCTTGATTGTCCGGGGGGGCTTGCATATCGATGATCGCCTGGACCTTTTCCGGGTTGACGTCGATTCCTCTTTCATGTACGATGAACCCGAGGAACTTTCCCGAGCTGACACCGAAAACACACTTTGCCGGGTTGAGTCGTAGACCATACCTCCGCAGCGTGGCAAATGTTTCGGTCAAGTCGGTCAGGTGATCTGCCGCCGCACGGCTCTTCACGATCATGTCGTCAACATAGACCTCGAAGTTCCGCTTGATCTGTTGGGCAAACATCTTGTTCACGGCTCTCTGATAGGTTGCGCCTGCATTCTTTAGCCCGAACGACATTACTTTATAGAAATACACTCCTAGATCGGTGAGGAAAGCCGTGTGTTCTTGGTCCTCGGGCATCATTCTGATCTGGTTGTAGCCGGAGAAGGCGTCCATAAACGAAAGGCGGGCATGCCCGGCGGTTGTGTCGATCAGCTGGTCGATCCTCGGGAGGGGATAGCAGTCCTTTGGGCATGCACGATTGAGACTGGTGTAGTCAACACACATCCTCCAGCTTCCATTAGATTTCTTCACCAGAACTACATTGGACAGCCATCGCGAGTACTTGACTTCCTCAATGAAGCCAACTGCCAAGAGTCGCTCCAACTCTTCGCGGACGGCCTGCTATCTGTCCGAGGCTTAGGATCGCGGTTTCTGCTTCACTGGCCGAGCATCGGGTGAAATGTTCAAGTGATGTTAGGCGGTCTTCGGATCGACGCCTGTCATGTCAGATGGCGACCAAGCGAAGACGTCGGCGTTCTCTTGCAAGAAGCCAACAAGTTGCCCCCGCTCCTGCTCGGGGAGTTCCGATCCGACTTTAATCGTTCAGTCTGGCCGATCCTTTATCAACGGTATGTCACAGGTGGGGGCCATCGGCTCGGGATGCGGGGTAGGTTGCTTCGTTTCCCTTGGGTCCTCCAGGGGTCAGTTGGTCTTCGCCCTTTTGTGAAGAGAAACTGCCGTCAAGTAGCACTGTCTGGACTCCCGAGGGCTCCCCCAGACCTCCCCAGTCCCTGTGTGGGTCGGGAACTTCACCGTCTGGTGGTAGGTGGAGACTACGGCCCTAATCTTGTTGAGGGTGGGGCGACCGAGGATGGCATTGTACGCCGTAGGGAGATCCACCACTAGGAAGGTGGACATCACCGTCTTTGATATGGGTGGTGCTCCTAGAGTCAGGGGCAAGGTGACGGTTCCCAACGGTGAGATCGAGTCGCCGGTGAACCCTGTGAGCGTCGAGCAGATAGGCTCCACGGCCTCTTTGGCTAACCCCAGTTTTTGGAAAGCGTCAAGATATAGCACGTCAGTTGAGCTCCCCATGTCGATCATGATTCTCCTCACCTGGGCGTTGGCGATTCGAGCCATTATCACGAGCGCATCGTTGTGCTCTGGTCGCTCAGCGCCTTAGGGGGGGAACGCGACCTCAAGGTCGGGGCCGCGTCGGGGAGTGTCGTCCTTAGCTAAGCAGGCGTATGCCTTCCTTCCTAACATACTGATCCCACCGGACGCTGGGCCGCCACTGATGACGTCGATGTGGCGCTCAACGGGACCCTCTGGATGGGGCGACGATCCCCTATTCTATCGGACGTACCGACTGAGGTGTCCTCTGCGGACGAGCTCCTCGATTTGCTGCTTCAGCTCGCGGCACTCTTCAGTATCGTGTCTGCTTTGCCAGTGGAAGCGACAATACTTGGATCTGGCGATCGTTGCCTCCCCTTCTTTCTATTCTCATTCAGCCTATGAGGCTCTGAATCCCTCCTATTTATAGAGGTCCCCTATCCAACCCTAATGGATCCTCGCCTATTGGGTATTGGATCTGCATCCAATAACCCAAGCCTTTTAGATTAGTGGATCTCTATCCAATAATCTCTCATGGGCTCTTATTAGATCTCGTTCATGGGATCCAATAATTCAGGGGCTTATTGGATATCCAATAAGACAAGGGCTCCATCGGATATCTCATATCCAAACCTCTACTCATCGCAATGCCTACCATATGTGTGTGATCCTCTAGGCCCAATATCGAGCTGGCCGTGAGTCATACCTGTCAGAACTCCTTCTAACTCAATGAATTATTATCTCTGTAATAATTCACTTGACTCATCGACTACGGACGTACTAGGCCACTACGCCGTAGTCCCAAGACGATACAGGAGAATCCAATCCATTAGACCTGTCTGTCCTCAATTACCGTGTACCTATAGTCCCTCATCCATCTAATATCCCAGAGACCGTATATCGAGCATGGTGTTGTCAGACCCATACGGTTTCTACTCGAGTCTCGCTCTAATCGGATTCTCCCGGAGAACTCTTTCTCTCTCAACCCGAATGACCCTGGCCAGGGATTTGTCTGAGCAAGAATACATGGGATATTCCTCTTATGACGCCGAGAGTGGATGATCCTCTATCAACACTCAATAACCCTCGTAAGGTCGACTACCACTCTCAATGACCAACTGTACTAGATCTGGGACAGCCAAACCTATAAGTTTGGTATCAAAGAGTGGAGCAGTCATACAAGATATCCTTGGTGTCTCAAGTCTAAGGACCAGATATACCACTAGGACTACGGAATCACTGTCTGACAATAAGGCATCATCAACCATCCAGCATTCCGTAAGCTGATCAATTAGTGAACTCATTCTCCAATGAGCACATGTACTGTATCCCTAGTGTCCCTACACGAGCAGCTATGAGACCCGCTGCATCCATCATATGGATGGGTATATAGCACACCAGTCTATCCGGTTATCACGATGTCCCTCTCGAGAAACCTATGATCGAGATTATTTAGAATATGTGTTTAAAGGTGAATCGATCTCATTTTCGTGATCTCATCACGATCCGATTCCCATTGCACAAATCCAAGGACATCACAATATATATATGCATATATGCAATAGTTATAAAGTGATATATACCAAAATATAATAAGTAAAATAATATTCTGTATCAAGTCACACGTATCATTACTCACGTGATTGGCTTACTGGGCACCTATGACTAGCAATCTCTACCATCATGTTACAAGGTTCACACCGATTATGTTCTCCTTAGCTTTCTTGGTAGCAATGTTCGCTTACTCGACCTTATCCTCTGACTTGTCGGGCTCCCATAAGCGAATATGGGCTCTGAAGTAGTCCAACTCTCTAACTGCTTCAATCATACCTCTGCATGATCAAGTCCCTCCCATGGGACTCACTGGTACTTGCATTCGAACTTTTCCCTCGGTAGTACACAGCCCCCATATGTTGATGACCAAGGCTTTCATCCGATGCAAAATTTGATGCAGCACGGAAGACCCGCCTCTGCGGTATCATGACCTTCACTCCTTGAATCCATAGCCTTCTTGTTGTCGTGCTATTCATCGAAGTGGAGCTCCCAGTAGCTCCCGATCGTACCTCCGTATGATATAGTCCCTCACAGGACTATATTCGTGTGTATCGCATTGCCACGAACTGTTCCACCACGATCCGCTGCACCATGTCGCCTCTTGGTGATATCTCCATTGCATTCTGATCCTTGTGGGATGAACTCGGTTTGTGATCCCTCAATGTGTGGCCTCTGCCAACATATCACAGGGCATCTTCCACCTTCAATTGTGTTCGCTCCTTTGGCAATTGACCTTTATCCACCCGCTCTTGGGTCACACCTAGATGAAGCATCGCTCTAGGAAAGTCCATCGCTTAGTAGCTCTCGAAGTCCACCGACTTAGCTAAAAATGGTGCACCGTTGTCTGGATCCTGGGCCTTTACCCCTCACTAGCACAATCTCCGCTGCGCACCGCTTCCTTCATGGCAGCATTGCTACATATTCTTCAAGAGTACCCACCTTTGCATCCTCTTGCCCCGTGCTAAGGCCTTCTAAAACCAACTTCGCCTCCGTAAGTTGAGTCGCCTCAATTCCTCCATCAAATGCTTCTCTAAGGGAAGGTGCATGTGCCTCAAAGCTCTCTTCGTCTTTGACACCATGCAGGATGAGCCCGTTTCATCAGAATGAAGGACCCATGGAACGACATGATCCTGCTCTTGCCTCTACAAGAGTTCATGTTCTTGACCTCTATCCAAGGAAAGCTCTATGCCTCTGCTCCATGTTCCATCTTCTATGTCGGCTCCCTTCATGCGGCTTAGGTACTTCACCAAGTTACACCCAAGTTGCTCCGCTCCTCGTTTTGCATTGAGTTGATGGTGGCTCTCGTGCCCACCATTTCACGGGTCAGCCCTCCATTGAGTCTAATCTTCATATCGACTCCAAATGTGTCTTCATTTGTGTTGTCTTAGGTCGCTCCCCCACTTGATCTCGCAATACATTTTCTCAAGCGAGATCGTGCGACGACTCCTCGTCGCTCACTCGATCCATTGAGCTTCATGGAGTTGTTGCCTTTGAGGTACTCCTCCTCAATATGTGCGGTCCATTGCACGTGATTCTCCCTCTAGAGAGCCGGGACTTATCTTTCCTGGGTATCTATCTCGTTGGAGCAACATCTCTCTTCGTTTCCTTCCCTCTGAAAGTTTCGGAGATCACCATCCCCTTGGACTACTTCGACTTGCTGACCAAACTGTGCATTGTTTTGCCTCGTACAAAAGCATTTGCTAAATTATGACTCCACATCAATACAACCCCCGTTGCACTACTCAAGGCCTAGCAATATGATGAACTCGCTGCACACTTCAGCCTCCTATGGACGTATCATTCTCATGCCGAAGAGAAAGTTTCAATGCTCCATGACGCCAAGTTTCGGTCGCCTTGGGATGGCCGCGAACATTCCATCGTCAGCATACAAGCCCTTGCATGAGTACTAAATTTTTCGAGTTAGCAATTCCCCTCACCTCTGTGAGCATTACACAACTCTTTCGGTCACTGAGTAACACATTCCACCTTGCATGGTCTCATCCTTTACCAAGCACCTCACTTGCCTCGAGCACCATCAAGTATCATTGTCAACATCGAGCCGTAGCTCGAACTCAACCATCCCAACGTTTGTGCGCTACACATTCTTCTAAGCTTGCTTGTTATCGTGGTGCCTCTTGCGCGAAGGGTGGGTCATTCCTTTGAATGCCAATCTCAGATGCCCACTCCTCCAAGTGACTTCTTTTTCCTACATCTCCATGCTCGTTTTCCCCCAAACGGTCGTGCGTGCTGACTACCCTCAACGCAGCCCAGCTAGGTCCCCCAGGTTTTTCATGCCAAGTGTTTCTATGAGTGTTTGTCCTGCTCTAATACCATCAGTCACGGACTTATCTGGTTTTACCTAAGTCGTGTGGCACCCTTACGTGTCCGTCCACAAAAGGTCAGCCTCTCCGAAACTTCCCATGATCCCTTAAAACCTACAAAAAGAAAAAACGGGTTAGAGAAAGCGCCTCACTCGGGATCCACAAGTAATCATTTCAGAAAACACTTCATAGCCAATGCAAATTACAAACAGACTTTACAAGTTCTGAACGGTTATACAACAAATGGTCAAAATTGTCACTGAATATCTCTACAAGTGTCCACATGACACAACATTT